CATTGTGGATTATTTTTAAGTTGTACGAGTCAGGTATTTTCTTATTTAAGAATTATTTAATGTTTATTAATTATTTAAGAACTATTTTTATTTAATTTACTTTTTAAAAGGGGACACCCCTATGTAAAATTTCTGGGTCCGCCACTGGGTGCGCCTATGGTGACATGCATGTCACCGTAACTTGCACTTTTCGGCCGACCTCAGTTAGGATTAGGTCGACCTAATATGTTGTTTCAGTGTAAAAATAGTTTCATGGTGCCTAATTTGGAGATTCATATCTTACAATTGGCTCGATGAAAATTGGAGATTAATGGTTTGTTTTGAATCTGGAGTGTCCCTCTAACATTAAAGTGCTTGGGAGCTTGATAGGAAGTCCAGAAAACCATTTTTGAACCTGATCAAAAGGCTATGCCAAATTCGAGAAGTGTTTGTGAAGCCTACTTTGGAGCTCAATTCGAGAAGCATGGATTAGATTCGAGTCCGGTGGCTTATACCACATGAAAGTAGGTATGTTTGTCTACAAAGTCAAGGCATTGGATGAAATATTGGATATCTGTAAGGCTTCAAACAAAGGGCTCGAAGTTGCTACGAAGTAAGCTGCCTTCTAACACAAGACTGAAGCGGCAGATTAGGTCGACCTAATCCTATATTAGGTCAACCTAAAAGTGCAAGTTACGGTGACATACATGTCACCGTAGCAAAGTCATAAAAAATTAAGATACACATTTACTCTTCTTATTTTTTTTTTTTTTTTTTGTTAGGAGATAATAAATACAACTAAACAATACAAAGAAAGAAAAAAGAAATCACCCTCTATCTCGGAATCCAACCGCCACAAAGAAAGAACAACGACAATAGCATTTCTGGCGGCAGGTCATCAACAAAGAGAGGGAGGTCGTCGTTTCTTTCTTCCTTTTTCTCCTAGCAGATGGCAAAAATGAAGGAAATTTGTATTTTGTAGGTTATGTTTGTTTTGAAATTTTTGTTTTTTTTAAGAAGGAAGGGTAAGTAATTTCCAGTCTTAAATTAGGATGATAATATTAGTGTTAGGTTGACGTTGACCGTACTATTTGCACAACTTTCCCCCCTTTCCACGGATTGACAATTCCATTAATACAGATTGCAGTAGGATTTGGAATAAAAAATAGTTTTGATCAAGATCTGAGAACCGAGGGTGTTTCCCTTTGAAACATTTTAGACCTTGTTATTAGAAATACCGTGTCATTTGTATTAGCTGTTAAGAACATTATTTAGTCTTTAAAGTAGAGAATGAGTCGGTGCCAAGTGGCCGGATTTTGTAATTCATTTGCTTAACTGATATGGATTTGGTATATCATGAGAGAGTGAGCGACCTCAACTCTTTGAGGATCTTCTCTTCCACCAAAACCCCTACTACATTTCTCATATGGTATTAGTGTGACAGATCTTGACATCTCGGAGATGTTTGGCAAAAAAAAATTTCACACCTTTGTACATTTTCCAAACTCCACCAAAGTTCTAGTAACACACATTGAGATTGTAAGTTCTTTTTGTCCTAAGGATTTTGTCTTTCAAATGTTCTTTTTGTCCCCAGTTTTTCATTCAACCTAATCTCAATGTCTTTTCAACATAATTTCCCTTTAGCCTTGCATTTTCTCTATGATCTTTGTCAAATTCATGACCTTTTTTTTTGGTAGAAAATTCATGACCTTTTAAGCAAGACGATGATTAATTTAGCAAGAGAATCTAAGGAACTTTACCAGCTTACTTTTCCTAATCAATCACCAAGTCATCCTGCTCTCCAATCACCTCAAGCATCCATTGTCCAAAATTTCCAACCCCACCAAGTTGATTTATGGCACTGGAGATTAGGCCATCATAGTTCCAATCAATGCAGTCAAAAGCGCGATTCTATCCAGAAGCGGAAAATGGATAAAATCGTAAAACGTAGATTTAAAGCGTAAAAGCGTAAGTTTTTGACGCACACTATAAAATAACTATAAATCTTTTAAGTATGAAATATACTATGTAAAATATGAGTGCATAGAATTTGGATAAGTTAATAAATACCTGCAATTCATGACTAAAATATAACAACTCATAGCATTTTAACAATAAGTTTACAAACATAGATCTTAATGATAAGTCACATTCCCCTCTATGCTAATGAATTTGGGAAGAGCCTAGCTAGTAAATTAGATTACTCTATTTAAGTTGAGAACACATCCAAGTACCTGTTATTTATCTTTTAAGCTCAAATGTATAATATTGTTGGTGATTCACCTTTAAAATATACTTTTTGTCATTAATTTCATGAAAAGAACACCCATTTGGGAACTAAAAGCACAAAAGCGTAAAGCATTTTGGTGACTAGAAGTGTAAAGCTTAAGTTTTTAAACTTTAAAACACATTTTAGTCCGATTTTATACACTCAAGATTTTATGTGGAAACGTAAGCTTTTTGGTGATCCAGAAATGTAAAACCGTAAGTTTTTAAATTTTAAAACGTGATTTTTACTGCATTGGTTCCAATAAGCTTTCCATGTTGCAGTCTCTATATTTCATTGTAACAACTACTAAAGTAGAACATTGTGTAATGTTTGTCACTAGTCCAAACACAAAAGACAACCTTATCATGTTCGCACCACTCATGCTACTGAGCCATTTCAATTTATTCATGTTAATATATGAGGTCCCTTTTATGTTGATTCTTATGATGGATATGTGTATTTCTTAAACGTCATGGATGATTTTTCTAGAGCTGTGTGGGTTTATTTGATGAGGTACAAGAGTGAACCGGAGAGTTGTTAAGGTTTTCTGTCAATTGGTTAAAACCACTTTTGCTATATTATCAAAGCAGTAAGAAGTGATCAGGGTAAAGATTTTAACATGAGCGAGTTCTACCTAGGTGAAGGCATTGAGCATCAAATGTCTTGTGTCTACACTCCATAACAAATTGCAAGAGTTGAAAGAAAGCATCAACATATACTAAATGTTGCAAGATCACTTGGTCTTCATTCTGGAATACCTTTACAGTACTGGAGTGACTACATACTCTATGCAACTTACCTAATCAATAGGATGATCACACTTATCTATAAGAATCATTCCTTCTTAGGTCACCTCAGGTTATTTGGTAGTTTGGTTTATGCTAGTACACCAGCTGCTGGAGGTTACGAATTTGATGCAATATCACGCCAATGCATCTTACTTGGTATCCCTTCATGGATCAAGGGATACAAATTTCTTGATCTTCAAAGAAAGCAAGTTTTTATCTCAAGATATGTTGTTTTCTATAAGTCTAATATGCCCTTTAGAAATGCTCATGAATTTCCAAAGTATCCTTCTACTTTGTTCCATGATCATGTTCCTTCCACCTCCAGTCCTGCTTCTGGCCTCATATTGCTATACTCTTTCACACTCAGTCATCCTTCTCTTGTATAAGGCTTAGATGTTGGGGGCATAACATGGTAGTGGACGAGGATGAGACAGTCGTTGATAATGAAATTATCCATTCTGAGCATCATCATGATTTCAATCTAGTTGCAGAATTGGAACCTCTACAAGAATATGAACCACCAATGAGGCCACACTGATCATATAAATTACTAGCCAAGTATGGTAATTGTGAGCTTGATTCCACGTTGCAGTTTGGTGCATTTGGCTCTAGTTCAATAGTGTCTAGGAATTCAATATGCCTTAACATTGACTATTTGAATCGAACTGATAGAGGTTTTGCCTTGAGTGTGATCACCCAGGTAGAGCCAACAACATACGAAGTGGCAATATAGTCAAATGTATGGAATAGAGCTATACGGGAAGAACTAGGTGCACTTGAAGAGAATTAAACATAGTATGTTATTGAATTATCAGTTGGTAAGAAAGCAATTGGAAACAACTGGATGTTCGAGATAAAAAGGAAAACATATTGAAAAATATAAAGGTACAAAGCAAGACTAGTTGCAAAGGTTACACCCAGGTTTATTAAATTAATTTCTTACACTTTCCCCTTGTGGCTAAGATTAATCAGTCAAAGCATCGTTAGCAGTGGGAGCAGTCAGGAATCGGACATTGGAGAAAATGGATGTATATAATGCATTTCTCCATGGAGATTTTAAAGAAGAGCTTTACATGAAAATACCATTAGGGCTTGATCTGAAGGGTACTAATCCAAATGGTCTAGCCTGCAGGTTAAAGAAATATTTCTATGGCCTCAACTCTCAAGCATGCTTCAAGATAATGGTTTGCTAGACTAACAAGATTTTTTTGAAGAATGGTTTGTCACAATCTCCATCTTATTATTCCTCATTCACTAAGTGGATCCAAGGGAGAATTTTTGTTCTAACAGATATATGTTGATGATACAATTGTGGGTGGTGATGCGTCCAATGATATTGAGCAAATCAACAAGGCCTTATGTAGAGAGTTTGAAGTGAAACTCTTGAGACCATTGCAGTACTTTCTAGGCCTTAAAGTAAATAGAATAACAAATTGAATTAGTGTGTACCAAAGGAAATATGTTCAGGAATTGCTCAAAGATACTGGTTACGAAGCTAAGGGATGTTTCACACCAATAGACCCTAAGACAAAGTGACTAGCAACATAAGGATCACAGTTAGTAGATGCAGAAGCCTATAAAAGGTTGATCGGGATACTTCACTATCTCACTAGATTTGACCTTTTTTGCTCAGCAATTGTGTCAATTTTAAAAGAAACCCTGCTGTGATCACTTGCATGTTGCAAATTGAAGGATGCTGACAATTCCATTAATTCAGATTGCATAAGGATTTGAAAGAAGAAGTAGTTCCGATTAAGAGCTTAGAAAAGAGGGTGTTTCCCTTTGACCTTATTATTAGTAATACTGTGTCATTTTTGTAGTAGCAGTTAAGAACATTGTTTAGTCAACGAGTCAATTCCTTTTTTTTTTTTTTGGTCGGGAAACGGGACGCTTAAAGGGTGCCCCAACCTTTATGCATTAATAATTCGTGGAGTTTCAACTCCGATCCTGTCAAAGTACAACCATTAGGCTAAAGCGCTCGACGTGGTATCAAAGACATGAACACCAATCGGATAGTTATGCCCTATAGAAGCCAAGTAGTCTGCAAAATAGTTACCCTCCCTGAATACGTGATCAATCCGAACCTGCCACGGAAGTTGAAGCCAACGCCAAATCTCGGCTATGGCAAAGAAATGCGGGTGGTGATGTGAAGCCGTCTCGATGAGAGTCTTCTCTATGAGAGAGTCAGTCTGGAGAATAACCTTCCTAGCCCCTAGTTCCCAGGCAAGTTTCAATCCCTGCACAATCCCAGCCAGCTCTGCACGGGTAATGGAACCCCCTCCAAGGTTCATAGTGAAAGCTCGAACGAACCGGCCATCGTTCCCCCTAACGATGCCGCCAACTGCCGTGCTCGAAGGAGAATGGGTGACCGAGCCATCGGTATTTAGGCAAACCCAATCTTGTGGTGGTGGCTGCCAGCTGATAAGTCGTCTTTCGTGAGTTCCCCCTCCTTCGAAGACCGTCTTCTCCATGTCGAACGCAACAAGGATTTGATGCTTTAGCTGTTTGGTTTGAAACTGGATTTGTGCAGGAAGTTGTAGCTCGTCTTGGAACACGTGACTATTCCAGTTCTTCCACAGAAGCCAACAAGTGCATGCGAAGAGAGTGTTGTCCACAATGTTGCTCCGGCCGACAAGATAGTGAAATAACCACTGTTTCTGGGGCAGGTCGAAGAATAAAGTGTCGGGTTCGGTGTCCAGCAAGTCAGCCCAAGTAGCTTTGCCTAACGAGCAGTCGCGCAGGATGTGGATGGTGGTCGCTGGTCCGCCTCCGCAGATTTTGCACGTGGTATCTTGGGTAAGGTGGCGGCGAATCCTTTCTGAATTGGTCAGCAGACGATCGTGAGTTGCTAGCCACATGAAAGCTCGTACTCGCTGCATGACAGGTGCGCGCCAAATCGATCGCCAAATGAGGTGTGTTGGTGGAGCCTACTGGTTCTGCGCGAAAAGTTGGTACGCCGTGCGGACTGAAAACTTTCCGTCGGGTGTCAATCTCCAAGTCCGAACGTCCTCCTCCTGCTCCGCCGGGACTGGGTAAAGCACTACCTGCGCAACAACATATGGGGGTAAGTAGACGCGTAAATAATCCACATTCCACTCACCATTGAGCATGAAGTCCGCCACAGGTAGCTGCAGAGCCTCTTGAGGTATCTCCGGGCGAAGGCCAGCAAAGGTTTGCCATCATTGAGCCATCTATCACTCCAGAACCTCGCCGTGCGACCATTCCTCATGTTCCACATAGAACCAGCATCGATCAGGTGGCATACTCGCATAATTCTCCGCCATAAATTGGAAAGCCTGCCCTGTGTTCGAGGCATGTATTGACCCTCTCGAAGCCGAAAATACTTGGCCCTAATCACCCTTACCCAAAGCTCATATGGGTTCGTCAGCATCCTCCAAGCCAAATTCAACATATAAGCTTCGTTCGTACGCCTCGAGTCCCTAAGACCCAATCCGCCCTCCTCTTTGGACGCGCAAAGGGTGTCCCAGTCGACGAGATGAATTTTCTTGCCTCCTTCTGTACTGCCCCAAACGAAACTCCTTTTTTTTTATCAATGTAGTCATGGACACTAGATGGTAGGAGAGTCGTCTGCATCGTGTACGCCGGAAGTGAGGACACGACAGACTGTGCCAGGGTGACTCGGGCTACGAGAGACATTGTTGTTGCTTTCCATCTTGCGAGTCGGGAATCGATACGGTTAATCAAATCAATATAGGTGGCCTTCGATACTCTGTCGTGGATGACCGGAACGCCCAAATATCTCCCCAAGTTGAGAGTCTCCGGAATCGCCAGCTCATTTGAGATCTGAGTTCTCAGCTGAGTGGACACATTCTTAGAAAAGTAGATTCTTGACTTGGGCTTGCTCACTTGTTGCCCCGAGGACGCGCTTAACGCCTCATAGCAAGTATTAATGGTCCTCGCCTGGTGGAGCGACGCTTCCCCAAACAAAATCAGATCGTCTGCGAAGAAGATGTGGGAAAGCGCTGGGGCCGAGCTCGTTATCTCGATGGGCCGCCATTGTCCTTGCCTCGCCGAGTCAGTAATGATGTGGCCCAAGCTCTCCATGCATAGAGTGAAAATGTAAGGTGACAAGGGACAGCCCTGGCGGAGTCCCCGAGAAGGATTGAACTGTTCCGAGAGACCGCCGTTCCATTGAACATGCATCGTTGTCGTGGAGATACACGCCATAATCAGCCTAACAAACTCATCGGGTTCTCCTATGGCATGGAGAGTGTCTTTAACGAAGCTCCACCGTATGCGGTCGTATGCTTTCGCCAAATCTACTTTCACAACCATCCACCCCTTCCGACCCTGTTTAGCTCTCATCGAGTGAACGACCTCCTGGAGAATGCAAATGTTGTCCATTATATGCCGCCCTGGTACAAAGCTTGTTTGAGTTTCATGGACTAGGGAAGGCATTAGCGGCTTAAGTCTCTCAGCTAAGCACTTGGTCAGGGTCTTGTAGGCCACATTACACAAGCTTATCGGTCTAAATTGTTCAATGTGCACATGAGCCTGAACTTTGGGGATCAATACAAGAATGGTTGTGTTGAAGCCGCTCACATGCCCACTATCTTCCCAACAAGATTGAACTAGCTGGGTAAGAGATTCACCCACTACATCCCAAAATCGGACTCAAACCGTCGGTTTCGGGGGCTTTCAGAGGTCCCATGCTTCTGATGGCACTCCGAACCTCATCCTGAGATGGTGATGCCGACACTCGCAGCTACGTAGCTTCCTCTACCAAGGGGAATTCATGGCCGAGAGCAACAAAGATCCCTCCTTCGTCCGTATACAAATTTTCAAAATGGCTGCAGGCGAGGGCATGGAGCTCTTCTGGTATCTCTATCCAAGCACCATCAGCCCCCTTCAAAGCAATGATCCGGTTCTTCTTCCTTCTTATTTGCGTATGGGTGTGAAAAAAATTGGTATTCTGATCTCCCCATCTAAGCTAGTCCTGGCGGAACTTCTGGCACCACAAAATCTCCTCCTGAAATAGAATGGAGTCCAGTTCCTCCCGGGCCGTCTCAAGGGTAGTTGAGATCTCCACACCCTTGTCTTGAGCTTCCAGCCATTCAATGCGATTCAAAAGTGCATCTTTCCGACTCTGGATGTGGCCGAAAATGAATCTGTTCCAGTATTGGGCATCATGGGCGAAGGCTGCAGCTGATTCTATGAAGTTAGTTCCACGTGCCCATGCAGCGCTCGCCATCCTTTTGAAATCCTCGTGAGTGAGCCATGCAGCGAGGAACCGAAAGGGTTTAGGTCCTCCCGGATTGACTGGGTTCGTCAGAGACACCAGAATCAGTCTGTGGTCCGATTTTAGTCGAGGGAGATGCTTGACTGACGTCTCCGGAAACATTGTTACCCTGCTGTTATTTCCCTAACCTCTGTCTAGCCGTTCACGAACTCTCGATCGAAACCAAGTGTAAGCCGGCCCAGAAAAACCCAGATCAACAATGCCCGAATCATTGACGCAGTCTTGGAAATCCCTGACCCTAGCCGCATCGAAGGGAGCACCCCCTAGCTTTTCTGAAGGGAGTAGGATGGAGTTAAAATCTCCGAGAAGAAGCTAGGGGCGCTCTTCATCTTCAGCCAACCGGCGGATAGCGGTCCATAGCTCACGTCTCTGCATGGGCGTCGGGCTGCCATAAACTGCTGTAAGTAGACACGTAACTCCCATACCATTGGCCTGTTGAACCTGCACACGGAGAAATTGAGTGTGAGAATCCACCCTAGTCATAATGAATTCCGCAGAATTCCAGAGGACCCAGATACCCCCCGAAAAACCCACGGCATCCACGAGGAAATTTTTGTCATAACCCATGTCGCGGATCACCTCCTCAGCAGTGTCTCCTCTAATTCGAGGCTCCACAATAATCACAATTATAGGCCGAAACCTACGTTTGCATTCTAAAAAAGTATGGAGAAAACTCCTGCTACCGGCACCTCTACAATTCCAAGGAAAAAATACTACAATCCATGGAAGAGGTAAGGTGAGAGAGACTCCCTGAACGATCATTGATGGGCAATGCCATCGCTGCTCCCTGAGGACGCCGGGTTCACTATTGGATTGGGTATTTCTCTCGAATGCATGTCTCGTCGATGGCGATGTTTTGTGGCCTACCTGAGGCTACTGAGTTGAGGGTTTTATTGTTCGCATCGAGGTGGAAAGGTGGGTCCGGAGCTTGACGAGCCAGTGCTCCTTCCCCCGTATCCATATGGTTTACGTCCTGCCGGTATGCTGGGAAAGCCTGCTGCTGTGCATTTGCTAGGTGGTCCATATTACCCAGGTGCACTTCCCTTTGCTTATCAGCTCCATCACTCGCGGACATTGGGCTTTTGACGGTGTTTATTGGTTTCTTCGTTTGTCCGTTCCCCGCCTCTTTCGTACCCTTGTTAGTTGTGGGCGTTTGTTTCAACTTCTCTTGTGGCCTTTTAACTCCAGCCCTGTCCCCACCGTGACTCGCGTTCGGTGTGTTTTCCTGAGTATTCCCTCGTGTCTGATCATTTTCCTCTTCCATTAAATCTTCAACTATGAGAACATTAAATCGCGACCCCGACTTGGCTGCATTGCCCCCTTGGTTGTTGTTGGGCAAGTTTTTTTTTTTTTTTGCTGCAATCTCTTGTCTAAGGCCTCGTGGTTTCCTTGTCATTCTCCGCGGCAATAGGTTCCTCGTCCGGCTTGCTCGGCCCGCCAAAGGAGCAAGGGCATCCAGACCGTTGAAAATATTTTCCGCAGCTTAGGCAAATCTTCTCCAGCCCCTCGTATTGAATGAAGTACTTCACGCCATGGATTCTAAATTGGGACAAGAGTGGTTTGGAGAGATCGACCTCGACACAAACACGCGCGTAGTCTAGGCGGGCGCCTGTGCTCGGGGCTTGATCAACCCGTAGGGGTCTCCCAATTCGCTTCCCGATCTTCATCACCGCATCTGTGTTAAAATATTGAGCCGGTATGTCCAGCCGCCTTGCCCATACTAGGGTCGATGAAATCTCGTGTTCGTATGGGTTAAAATGCTTGTTCCACGTATGAACAGTGAGATAGTGGTCACCCAGCAACCACGGTCCTCCCGTAACAGCCCTTTCATAATCTATTCCGCTTGTGAAGCGCACTATGTAGTAGCCTTTGTTTGGCCGATGCTCCGTGAGACCACTGTGTATGACGAGGAGCGTCCCAAGACTTTGACCACGAGGGCCGAATGGAGCTTCCTGCAAAATTGACGCTCTTCGGCGGCTGAGAACAGGATAGGGCACAGTGGGTCGTCGTCAGCTTCCGTTCCTGCATCCATACCATCTTCTCTCATAGCTTCTGCGACATCCTCCGAGTCGGATTCCGCTACGTACCACTCGTCGGTTTTTAGGAAGTCGCTGAAGAGGCGACGAGCTGCTCCTGTACTCGAGGTCCAGGCTGACGGCGGCGGGGTACCTGATCGCGTGCGTCTGTCCTCCATCGTCGTCGCATCCTCCAGTGTGACATCCGAGTCACTCTCAATCTGCACTCCTTGAACTGTTTGTTTGACTCTTTTCTTGCTTTGCTGGGCCTCCCGATAACCCTTGGGATTTGGGGACGATGACGCAGAGGGAGGCCTTCGTTAGCTGGTGAGATTTTCTAGCGAAGTGGCGGGTGGCCCCCCGCCGGCTAGCGGCATTGCCACCGCCGGCTAGAGCTTTGGACGAAACCCTAGGCGTAGCAGAGACTATTCGACGTTCCTAGAAACACGGAGCGGCCCTAATTTCGGCAGCAATCCCAAAACAGCCACGGGTCACAACTAACGAGTCAATACCAAGTGGCAGGATAATGTAATTCATTTGCTTAATTGATATATCATTGGTATATAATGAGAGAGTGAGCAACCTCAATTTTTTCATGATTGTCTCTTCCATAAAAAAAACCCAGCTACATTTCTCATACAGATGAGATTCACTGTTGTCACGTAGGCCGGCATGGCACCGAATCAACCTAGTTTAAGTAGTATCAATCATGAAATCGACATGAACACCAGTGGTATGATCGAATAATCAATTTACGATCTCTAAGCATAATGATATCGTTTTAGAGAATTTAATTAATAAAAAAACTATTTTATCAATTATTTTAGGAGTTTAAAAGTTTAATATTGGTGTTATTTGTTGGATTCAATTATAAACGTTTTAGGTATTGATATTAAATATTTCTATTTAATTTATGAGTATTTGTAACTTTAATAGGAATGTCACATTTTATTTAAATACCAATTTGAATTATAAGTAAATTATCTGCAAATATATTTTTATATATGATTAAATTCATTTATTATTAATGGGGTTTCACATTTCTACATATTTTGTTAAATCGGTATGAATTAACACATACCGATTCTATTACTGATCAAACCATTTCACTTATTAAACCGATACAACGATTTAAACAGTTTTAACAATGTTCGTGAGATCAACAGAACTCAAAGTTGGCAAAAGAGCCAAAGAACAGACATGTCTTCCTCCGGACAAATTGCTACCTTAGAATAGCCATTCCAACAATAACCCTCCTTACTACAACAGAGGAAATATTCTGCCAAGTTGGCAATATGCTGTTTGGAGTCAGGGTTGTTATCGCCCCGCAGCTGGGAACTCTCCCCCTGCTCTGCTCTCAACTTCCCCTGTTTCTTCACTATTCTAATGGCTGGCCGACCACATAACTTCCTCCCCTGTTTCTGTTGTTAGTGGGTGGCATCTATATCATCACTCGAACACCGATTGACCAAGATATATACTACTATTATACTAAACAATGGCTAAACAATTCAGGCCATGAAATGTGACTGCTTCTGACTTTTTGTGCTTGACATTATATTTTTATCTCCCCATCCTGCCAAATAGATCCCAATCCGTCGTTTCTTCTCTTTATATATAACCCTCTCACTTTCCCATCATATTCAGACACTCTTACGCTCCTCTCTAACATTCCTCAATCCTCTGCTACGTTTTTTGCATTCCTTCTTTTTACACTTTAAAAATCATGAGAACTACTACTTCTGGTCAGTCACTTCGTGCTCTGCTGCTGGTTCTAACCATTCTTATGGCGTTGACAGACCAGTCCAATTGTCGGCCAATCAGGTCCTCTGGCTACGGAGTTAGAGTAGTGGAGATCAACAACAGAACCAAGACGAAGTTCCCTTTCCCGATTCCGGAGAGGCTTGCGGCGATGTCCCGGTTCGTTCCGGGGAAAAGTGGGTCGGATTACCAGCTCGACAAGCCAATGCACAGCATTTCGGATCGGTGGATCCCCGATGGACCGAACCCACTTCACAATTAGGGTCCTGCGATGATGAGGTTGATCAAAGACGGCGGAAAGAATCAAATTGGTTCTCGGAAAGAATGGAACTTTAGGGTCTTTCTTTCTTGGGAATTTTGGGAATTGGGAGACTTGAGAGGCAGGGGCGGGCTTCCCCTGTTTTCTAGAGCTTTTCTGTCTTAGTCATTTTGTTTCTTTTTTTCATGGTTTGCTCCATTCTTTACACGAACCAGTCTTGAATCTGAGTTGTTTATAAAATCAGAATGCCGCTTTGTATAATATTGGATATGGAGTATGAATACAAAAATCTAATATACTTCTCTCTGTTCCATTCATTCTAGAGTTCGATCGTCAACAACACTGGCAATTACGCAAATTGTCATTGTCGTTAACGAATTCGACTGAAAATTAAACGAAATTCAAGCCATCAGAAGGTCGGGAAGTCTGAACAGAAACAAGAACGGAGACCAAATCGAAGAATGTGCTAAAGTTTACTAAGACTTCCTCTGTGGAAGCGGGCATGGAAGGTTGACTCTGTTTGCAGCAGCTTCAGGATTGTCAACGAAAAAGAATATTAGCGTTCATGTCAGCATCTTACCTACTAATGAAATTAATTATTCCAGGCAACAGTCCTTTTCATCATGATTGATTGTCAAACTGCAGAATCTTCAGAATTCCAAACTTGCACATTTCTGGTTGATCATGTGAAAAGCTTAGGCCTGCCCTGTAAATGTAATGGAGATTAAGGACTGATACGGTAATAATCCAAAAGTTTAATCTCAACGAGCTTCCTAACTCGCACACCATAGTATTATTATCAACGTATATAAGAACACAGGCTTACGGTTGTTTCAAGTTGAGTTGTCATTTCTTCCTCCATCGTATTGTCCGGCCGGCTCTTCAAGATTCCGAACTCTATATAGGTCCCAAAACAATCCAAAACCTAGCCATTTGTCACCAACCTTTTGTACATATAAAAAGAAAAGGATTAGTCACATTTTTTGTTCATATATTATTTTCTTGTAATAAATGTGTCTATGAATTTTAACAAATAAGTTATCATATTATGTGATAATGCTTGTTACGATTGAGTCTAGTCGTGATACCGTTCATGTAAGTGGTTTGTGAGGTTTTTTTCTCTATACTCAATCAATCATTCTTTTTTACTAATAAACCACGTATATTGGAAGGTGCTTCATTTTTCTTCAACGTAAATGAATCTAAATGGTGAGCACGAATCTCCAATGTACCCAATATGTGAGTTAGGTGGATGCTTTAACTCATCACCGGTGGACATCGTCAATACAAATTTGTATCGATATTGTCAACAGCGAGACTAGATTAGTTGTGAAGCAAGCTCCAGACCTTTGGCTACTTTAGCTCGTGTCATTCTCCACTCAACTCACTGGATTTATGTCGTGTTTGTCCCTCGACGTCTTAATTCGTTAACAAATTTGATTGTTCCTAATACTCGTTTAGATCTTTTACCGGGAGAATGAGTTGTTATCGTAATTTTTTTTAAATCTCTAATGTTGTAAAGATCAATGTTTCCACTAATTGGATATTACTTAAAAGATACAATCTTCTTGTAAAAAAAAAAAAAAAGAGGGACTAGATTAGGAATTAGCATTTCTAATAGGAGATAAACTAGCATTCATGAAGCTTGCAACAAGCCAACAACAAAACCATCGAAGAAGGAACCTGAGTTATGAGAAATTTTAACGTATGACGGAAAACTATTTTCATCTTGTGGATTATGAGCATAGTATCGCGTGTTTTCTATCTGTATGGTATTTAGTTCAATTGACTCGTGTATATGGAAAATGTCCGTCATGCTCAGATACTATCCATCCGTCGAACCAGGTCAAGTGTGTAAGGATCAGTTCAAACTTGTTGCTATGTTCATTGATTACTAATGTGAATGTATAAGTACACACAAAGACCGATGCAATCCTGAGAAATTTAACACATTTATCGAATAATTCGTATCACCTTCTTGATTATGCTAGAGCAAAAAATTTACATAATATATGGCCATGTTTGTTGTGAACCACAACAGTAGGCAGCAGCATATTAATATACATATATATGCATCCGTTAACATAACATGGAGCATAAGCTAGAAACAACACAATCATCCTCACACAAGTACACAACGAAAGGATTCCCGTGGACTTGTTCATTTTTTAGAATTTGACGTGGGGGTGTTTTTCTTAATAATTGTTGTTATGCTTCACGAAGTAGATAACACGTCCTGACGTCGGCTGAAGGTTAAGTCAGCCAATAAACAAATTCATCCATAATGAAGGTCAAATAGCTGACATTATTAACAAATAATGAACATAAACAAAGTGCACAAACTGGACTCCATACAAATGTATCTCTAACTCTCTTCATCATTATTATACTTACTAACCCTTCCATATGTCACACAGCTCTTTTTGTCTAAAGTACACAAATGGCAGGCAGCCGCCGGCGTGGTCGATGACGGCCGGCCGACTGACCCGGACTTACGCCGTACGTACGTAGCCTCTCTTCGAGTCCGGTCATCGGTAGCTAGCCCGCTGATGCGACCCATTTCTTTCTTGTTACCAACTTAATTCTACTCTTTCCCGCCGGTCAGGGTAAATTGCAAGTCTGATAATTGGATTAATAAAACATTTCACTTTTGGTCACTAAAAATATTTTATTCCGTTCGTAGTCACTAAGAATAGTTAAAAGTATTTCAAGTTTGGTTACTCGATGTTATCTTCCGTTAGTTTTCGTTAACGACGTGAAGTTTTTTGATGATGTGGCTAACAAAAGTGTCTCTAATCACCCAATTTTAACCCACAAAAATTGAAACCCG